CTCCGACCGTGGTCGGCGTTGTGGAAATCGGTGCCAAAAAGTCAACAGAGACAAGCGATACGAGCCAGCCCCCACTGAAAGTGTGTCAAAGAGGAACCGAAGGGGGTGAGACGGAGAGAGATAGAGAAAGGGAAAAATATATAGACGCAGCGAGGAGGATCAGGCCGGATATCCTGAGGAACGGGAAGGACAGGACGGGCGGATACGTGCTAAGGCGTGTCGAGCCGGAAACACGAACGGGCATCACGAGTACAGGGTGGTGGTGACGCAGGCAGAGCGGTGGTGGTGGTGGCGGCGGGGCAAGCAGGTGGCGGGATCTAAGCCGGAATAAGAGCAGAGTTAGAATGGGCAACAAGCTCTCCTGCAGTTGCGCACCCCTAATCAGATCAAAGACGTATCGCTACGAGGACAGCCCATGGCAGGCCGGTGCCAGGGCCGGGATGGGCGGCGGCGGAGGACGCAGGGGTGACACTGGCCACTTGCTCAGGTGCGGAAGCTTAAGAGAGAGGAAGAGGTGCGCATACCATACCATTCAACCATTGAATCACTCTCCATTCGACCATGTTACCACTCTTTCTCTTCAATAATTACCATACACACTTGACTGAATGCATTATACTGACTCTCTCTCTCTCTCTCTCTCTCTCTCTCTCTCTCTCTCTCTCCCTTTCTCTCGTCTTTCTATTCCTTCTTTTCCATTCTTTGTTTCTTTCTTGATATTCGATAAGCATGAAGATAAGTGCTGGGCGACGAGAATAGCATTTTTTGCGTTAGATGACGTCTTATCTAGATAAATTTAGAATAAATTATTTAAGAAAATAATAGTATAAATATAGAGTTTATGTTTGCCTAGCAATTTTAGTAATTAAGAAGTTTATAATATAAAAAGGGTTGTAAAGATTTTCACGACTACAATTAACCAATGATTATACAAGTATCGATATTTCTTTTCAATTTTTAATTTCAAAATTAGAAATTTTTAATTTATTTCGCTATTAATTTAAAATAAGTTTGCACAATATTTAAAAATATTATATTATTTAAAGAGTTCAGCGGGAGTTTAACATTTACTTTTGACGCAAGTATAATTAACATATTTCATCGTGATGTCATTATTGATTTTATTTTAATAAACATTTTCTCACATAAAAACACACGTAAGCGTTTATTACAAGTAAAGTATACAAAGATCCAAATTTAATAAATTATTTCCTAGCATTTAGTAATAAAGAAATTATAGTTCTGCATCTGTATGCCAAATGAATTGGATGTCGCGTTTTATTCACGTCAACCAAATCGTCTCGCATTTTTTTTATTTATTCCATTTTCTCAATTCTTATATTTTTCTCTCTCTTTCTCTCTCTTTCACTATCCTTTCTTCTCGCTGACTTATTTAATCGCGCTTATTTCTTTAATCCTCACCTACCTTTCGCTTTATTTTCCCGCTTTTTGTTCGATTGTTTAAGCTAGTAGCCCATTTATCATGGCCGATAGCTCGTTTTTCTTACTCGGATCGCGATACACTTGGTTAACTTTGAGTAATATCGCTGCGATTTCGATATATTCTTCTTTATTTTTCTCGAATACAAGTTGAAAAATAATACTATTAAGAAAGTCGTGTTTTATGCTTAGATAACTAAAGTTCTTCTCCTGCTATTTTTACTTTGCGCTACTAGCCTGGATTTCAATTGAGTTCAAGTGAAATGAGAAAAAAAATTATGCTTTGAGTACGATATCCCTAACCACATTTTTACATATATCTCTCAATTGCACATACTGTATTATATACTGTCTACTTTACACCTCACCTGTACACGTACGCTTCGCATGACTATTAGTATTTTTAGTATCATTACTTTCTCGTCCACTGATCGGTGTACAAAATTCAATGACGTATCGTTCAGTTTCATCGTTTCAAAGCTACACGGAATTAAAAATAAATATCCACGGATCGTGTAATTTTAATGCAGAAAGAGAGCTCGGCGTTTACACAGTAAAGTTGTATGTAACGCAACATGCACTTGCAATTTCCCACGAATGTATGTGACAATTTCTCGTTTTATCCGTTTCAAAATAAAGCGATCGACGTCATACAGAAATATTTTTACGCAGCTGCAGCGTGGTATCGATTATTACGGAGATATAACGAAAGATCGAAAACGTTTTTCTGAATTACAGGTCTTTTTTCACTTTTTCTTCTCTATCATTTCCGCGTCATGCCTGCTCTATTTTTCTGTTCCCCTTAGAACTTTCCTAAACGATGTCTCGATGTTCGAAAAATTATGTTTGCCGCAATACACGATGTAATGACGAGAGTTTTTAGGCTTTGGGCCGAAGTGTTCCATGTAAACTCGAGCGGGGGTGGCACCGTCAAGTGGCAGCAGGTGTCCGAGGATTTGGTCCCGGTGAACATCACCTGCATCCAGGACTCCCCGGAATGCGTCTTCCATATCACCGCGTATAATAGCCAGGTCGATAAGATTCTAGACGTGCGGTTGGTCCAGCCAGGTGAGCCGTAATTGTAGCATGTATTTTAAGGTAGTCTAATTAAAACCTCGATTCTTTGTGGAACAAGAAGTATCCACGTATCCATGAAAAATGAGGACGCATAAGAAGGACACGTATTTACGACGTATGCTCTCAGGATAACGTCCAGGATAGACGACGAAGAGGGATATGACGCTATTACGGAGTTGATACGAATGCGAATTCCCATTCATGGTAATTAATGTTGCGCAATTGTGTTTAAGGTACGCGCATCGGCCAAGCGTCGGAGTGCTTCGTCTACTGGAAGGACACGGTGACAAATGACACGTGGGGCCTGAACTTCACGTCTCCCATAGACGCAAAGCAATTCAGAGAATGCTGCGTAAGTTTAGTGATATTACACCCGAGACACGCATTTTGTTACATTATACATCAAATGCCACAAACCCTCGTTCGCTATCACTCTCTCGACCCGTCTCCGCCCATTTCTTATCTCCTTCCGGGTCGCCCGCCGAGGAAATTGAGCGGAGATGATTTAGGGGCGACACACAACAAGTCCGATACAAGTCCGATTCGACTTCTTAGGTCATTTGCAGTCACTAGT